AGAGGAGGTTATATGTGGCTCCCTGTGATCCATTCCCCCTTACTACATCCCCTTTCCCTCCTGGTATCGCCACTGTCACCCCTGGTCCTGAGAGGTTCTTCTGTCCTAGATTCCCTGCGTTTCCAATTCCCATCTGTACTGCCTGTTTATTTTTATATCTTCTTGATTTTTAGGATAAAAATAACCCACAAACAGAGTTCAACCTCAAGAATTTGGTCCTTACCACTCTCAATCTCTTCTTCGCTGGCACGGAAACAGTGAGCTCCACTCTCCGCTATGGGATCCTACTGCTCATGAAGTATCCAGAGGTGGAAGGTGAGGCTCTGTCTCAACATGTTCCCCTGGTGCGCCCAACTCCCAACAGGGAGGAAGACATACCCTTCAGACTTCAAAATACCACAGTGTGAGGCTCTTCCAACTAACTTCTGGGCATAATGAGTACCGATCGTGGAATCTCATCCTTGGGAGCCCATTTGATTTGACCTTCTACTTTATGCCTGTATTAGTTTCCCATTAAGGCTGTAACGCACTTTCACTCTTTTAGTTGCTTAAAATAACATGAATTTATATAGATCTGGAGGTCAGAGTCTAAAATGACTTTCACTGAATTGGAATCAGGGACATTCTCCCCGTGGAAGCAGAATCAGAAAATACGATCCCTTGCCTCTTCCTGCTGCGAGAGTTGTAATCCTTGGACCCTTGGCTCATGATCCATTCCTCTGTTTCTAAAATCCAAGCTCCAAGACCAAAAAACAGTCACCCTCACGTTCTTTTCTCTAACTCTGACCTTCTACCTGCCTCTTTTGATTACACGATGGATCACCGAGTAATCTTTCCATCTGAAGACCCTTCATTTCATTGTATCGATAAACGTCGCAGCCCCTGTATCAATCCATCTTGTCGAGGGGCTTCCTCTTTTGCACTGCCCTTCTACTTTCCCAAGCATGATGGCCTTTCCCAGGGACTGGTCTCTCCTGATACCGTCCAAAATATGTGAGACCAAATCTCTCTCTCCTTCCTTGCTTCTAAGGAGCATTCTGGCCATACTTCTTCCAGGACCGATTTGTTGGTTCTTTGCAGCATCATTCAAATGCAACAGTTCTTCGTCAGTCTTCCTTATTCAACGTTCAACTTTCACACGCAAACGAGGCGATAGGAAATGTCATGGCTTGGATCGGGCTCAGGTAGGTCTTCAAAGTAACATCCTTGCTCTTCAACACTTTGAAGAGACCTTGTGCAGGGGATTTCCCCAAGGGGATGCTTTGATCTCTTGACTGCTGCTGCCAAGAGCATGGATTGGGGAGCCAAGGACGTTGATATCCTTGACAACTTCCATCATTTCTCCATTTACCATGATGTTATCGATTGGTCCAGTTGTAGGATTTTGTGTTCTTTTTTAAAAAAATCATTTTATTCGGGGCTCATACAACTCTTATCACAATCCATACACACATCAATTGTGTAAAGCGCATTTGTATAGTCATTGCCCTCATCATTCTCAAAACATTTGATTTTGTGTTCTTTACATTAAGTTGTGATCCATATTGAAAGCTACAATTCTTGATATTCATCAGCAAATGCTTCAAGTCCTCCTTACTTCCAGCAAGTAAGGTTGTGTCATCTGCACATCACAGTTTATTAGGCTTTTCTCCAAACTTGATGCCTCATTCTTCAGATAGTCCAGCTTCTCTGATTATTTGCTCGGCACACAGATTGAAGATCTATGGTGAGATTATAGAACAGATGCACATCTTTCTTGATATTAAACTATGCAGTAGTTTGTTGTTTTGCTCACATTTCTGCTCCTTGATCCATGTACAGATTCCACATGAACGCAATGATGTGTTCTGGAATTTCCACTCTTCTCACGCTGTTCATGGTTTGTTAGGATCTACACAGGCAAATGCCTTTGCTCAGTCAACAAAACACAAGTTAACATCTTTCTAATATTTTCTGCTTTCAGCCAAGAGCCAAGTATCATCCGTGATATCACTTCTTCCACTTCCTCCTCTGAAGATTCCCTGGGCCTCCGGCAGCTCCCTGTCAATATATTGCTGCAATCATTGTTGGGTGATTTTTAGCAACATTTTACTTGGATGTGATATCAATAGTATTGTTTTATAACTTTGAATAGGTATAAATATGGATCTCTTCCAGTCAGTTGGCCAATTTCTTGGCATAGATGAATGAATACTGCCAGTACTACATCAACATGTTGAAACATTTCAAGTGGTATTCCATCAATTTCTGGAGTCTCATTTTGGCTAATGGTTTCAGTACTGCTGGAACTTCAGTACCATTGCTTCTTGATCACGTTACTTCTTGAAACGGTTGGATGTTGACTGTTCTTTTGGGCAGTGACTCTATTTGTTTCTTCTTTTTCTTCTTCCATTTTCTTTTGATGCTTACTGCATAAGTCAATATTTTACCAATAGAATCTTTCAATATTGAAACCTGAGATTTGATTTTTTTCCTTCAGTTCTGTCCGTTTTGTTTTCTAATGATAAGTTTTTGCAGATTTCATGATAACACTTTACTTTGTCTTCTCAAGCTGCCCTTTGGAATTTTATGTTCAGCTTTATGACATCATCATTTCTTCCATTTGTCTTAGCTACTCCAAGGTGAAGACAAGTTCCGAGTCTCTTCTGACGTCTACTTTGAACTTTTCTTCTTCCCTGTCTTTTAAACAACGTTTTGCTTCTTCATGTTTGACGCCCTTGATGAAATCCCACAGCTTATCATGTCTTCGGTCATCAGTGTTTAATGCATTCAATTTGTTCCTGAGGTGTTCTTCAAATTCACGTGGAATATCCTCAAGGTTGTATTTTGGCTCTCATGGACTTGTTTTAACTTTCCTCAGCTTCAATATGAACTTAGAAAGGAGCAATTGATAGTCTGTACCGCAGTCACACTCTAGCCTGGTTTTGCTGATATCGAGCTTTTCCATGATCTCTTCTCACGGAGGTAGTCAATGTGATTTCTGTGTGTTTCATCTGGAAAATCCATGCGTATAGTTGCCATTTGTGTAGATGAAAAAAAAGGCATTTAGGATGAAGTAGTCATTGGTCTTGCAAAATTCTATCATGCAACCTACAGCTTTACTTCTATACTCAAGAGTCTTGGGCCAAGACCATATTTTCCACCTACTGTTCCTGCCTCTTTGTTTCCAATTTTTGCATTGTAAACACCAATAATTATCAATGCCTCTTGATTGCATGTATGTTCAAGTTCAGACTGAAGAAGTTGGTAGAATTTCTGCATCACTAGCTTTAGTGGTTAGCGCATAAATTTGAATAATAGTTGCATTGATTGGATTTCCCTATTTTGGAGATAGACATTATCCCATCACATACATAGATCATAGATCTCACAATGTCCTTTTTAATGCTGAATGTCATGCAATTCCTCTTGATTGTGTTATTCCTGGCATAGTAAACCATATAATTTTCTGATTAAGATATTAGTCCATCTCAGCTCATTAGAATATCTATCTTTATGTGTTGCATTTCACTTTCAATGACTTCGTTTTTCTAGACTCATACTCCATACATTCAGTTTGTTGCTGTTTCTTCCCATTTTGAGTCATCCCCCATGAACAAAGGAAGGACCCGAAAGTGTTGCTCCATCTTGTCATTATGACCAACTCAATTTGGAGAAGGCAGCTCTTCGCCAGTCATATTTTGCGCAGCTTCTTACATATGGGGCTCATCATCGGACATGACCTCTGACAGTGTTCCACTGCTGTGCATAAGGTTTTCAGTCTGTGACCTTTTTTCATTGTTATTCACAAGATTTTCAGTGGCAAATTCCTCCAAAGTGGACCATCTCTTCCTTCTTTGTAGTCTCCTCTTAGTCTGAAAGCTCTGCTAAAATATGTTCACCTTGGGCGATCCTGCTGGTATTTGAAATGCCAGTGACATATATCTTCCAGCATCGCAGCAACAAGCATGCTCCTACACTATGGCAGACAAGGGATGGATCCCCAATTTTAGCCCCTCTCAATGCTAACAAGTTTAAAAGTAAGGCGACATCTTTCTCCTGGCACAAGTAGTGAGAGAGAGCCACCTGATGCCACTCATAGTTTTGCAGCCTCTTCTACAGGGTTGAAGCTTGTCTTGTACAAATTCATGAAATCAAGTATTTCGTGGACAGCTTCTCTACCAGTTTCTCTCACGCTGTTTAACAAGGCACCGTGCACCGGATTGCTCACAGTCACAGGGATCCAGTCTGTTATGCTTCTAGGTACTAACGGTCGGAATTCAGGGTGTCCCCAGGAGCGTGCTCTCACAGAAGGTTCTGTGGCTTCCAGTTTCTGGTTGCACCAGGAGTTCCTTGGCTTAATTCCAAGTTTCTCTTCATCTTTACATGGCCATCTTCCTTCTCTGTCTCTCTGTCTCATTCCTGGCTCTTACCACCAGTCAGTCATACTAGTTTACAGCCCACCTTACCCACATATGACCACATGCTAATCTGACCAACCACATTTGCAAACACCTTCTTTTTAATTAGGTCAGATTCATAGGCAACAAGGATTCGGCCCTCAACATCTCTTTTAGGGAACGCAGTAGAGCCCATACACCTTCCATAATCAGGGACTGTCTTAAATACTTGAATTACTCTGAATTGCCTTTATTACTTGAATTACCCTGATCATGTAGTGGTTATGCATTAGGCTTCGATCTGTAAGGCCAGCAGTTCAAAACCACCAGTTGCTCCTCTAGAGAAAGACAGGGTTTTCTACTCTCATAAACAGTCAGTCTCAGAAACCCACAATGGGCAGTTCTACCTTGTCCTATTAGGTCATTATGAGTTGGCCTCGACTGGATGGCAGTGAGTTTTGATAAGTGTATTATCTTGATACAATTATCACACCCACTTTCAACATAAAGAAACAGACTCATATTTAATATTTCTAAAGTCACTCATCAGGGAATTGACAGAAAGGAAACTCCACCAAAGATGTTTTTAAGAACCATGCTATAACTGAAAATCAATTCTTTCAACCTTCCCCGTCTTAGTTGCTTCTCTGTATTTTTTCCAGCTTGCCACAATATAATAATTTCTGAGAATCTAGCTGAGACAGGGACACAGGCCTGCTCAGAAATCTTCCAGGCTTACACAATGCTTTTAAGATTAAGTCCAAACACCCACATAGGCATTCTAGGCTCCAGGCTGTTTCCCTGCCAGTGGTCTGATATCCATCGTCTGTGATCCACCTAGGAGACAATTCCTAGGAGGCTATTCCAAAACTCATGCCGTGCATGCTTGGAGCCACTGTGTGCTACAGGTGTAAATGCCTAACCCTTTCAGGGGTCTATGGTCAGTGCCCTGACTAGCAACTGCAGCCCTTTCTTTGTGCCCATCTCTTGATTATTCATGACTTTTTCAGCCAAGATCCATGAAGAGATTAACCAGGTGATTGGATCCCATCGAATCCCAAGTGTGGATGACAGGCTCAAGATGCCCTACACGGATGCAGTGATTCATGAGATACAGAGATTGACAGACATCGTACCTATGGGCGTCCCCCACACTGTCATCCGGGACACTAATTTCCGAGGCTTCCTTTTGCCCAAGGTGGGTTTGTACCCACCTCGTTGCCCTGTCTACTCCCTGAATTGTATTCCTTCCTATGTTGGCCCTCCTCCTCACTGTCCCCTTCTGCAATCCAGGGCACCGATGTATTTCCCCTACTTGGTTCAGTCCTGAAAGACCCAAAGTACTTCCGCTGCCCAGATGGCTTCTATCCACAACACTTCCTGGATGAGCAGGGCCGTTTCAGGAAGAATGAAGCCTTTGTGCCTTTTTCCTCTGGTAGGTTGATGCGGTCTGTTTTCTCTCACCCAGGGACATCCTTTCTCTCTCTCCAAACTCTTGGTCTATCAAGGACTCTGAACAGGAGGGGAGTAGTGTCAGGTGTTGAGCTCCTAGGTGAGCATGTGAACGCACAGGTCCCTTAAGTGGACACTGTTTTGACCTCGGTTGCACTGTGCTATCACCTGAGGCTTGGAAAGGTGAACTGAAATCCCAGATCCCCAGGCCCATTCCATTTCCCCATGTAAATATGAACCAACCTTCCCTTGTGCCTACAGGAAAGAGAGTCTGTCTGGGTGAGGCCATGGCACGAATGGAACTCTTCCTGTACTTCACCTCCATCCTGCAGAACTTCTCCCTGCGTCCTCTGGTGCCACCGGCTGACATCGACATCAACCATAAAATCTCCGGATTTGGCAACATTCCCCCGAGCTATGAGCTCTGCCTTGTGGCCCACTGAGCGCTCACTGATGGGTATGATGGAAAGGGATGGAGGACATGGGTACAGGTGCCGCCAACCACGTGGTTTCCCTAGATTTCCGTAGTGTCAATGAGACAGTCATTATTAGCTGTCGTGGGGCAGAGGTCTCCTGGGATCACCCTGAAGATAGAGCGCAGTTCATCTTGTCGATGCAGTAGAAAAATCAAAGCCGCGTCCAACTTTTCTGCAAAATTCTGATGGATTTGCCTCTTGCTAGGCTTTCTGAATTGACTAGCACAAACTAGAAGGATCTCTGCCAGATGCTTCTAGTCTATTCTTTTTGTCTTTATGTAGTCCCGTTGTCTTTGGCCTGATATTGACCCACATGGGTCATGACCTTTCTCCTTGATTCTCATCTCCCTCCAGACAGGAAGGGGGGGAAAGACAATTCATCACTTAAGATTGCTGAGTGTTGGAGGTCTAGTGTGTGTTCAGGGTGATTTCATGGTGAAACAGCAAAATATACCCTCAGACTTCCCTGTTATTCAGCATCCTTTCTGCAGCCCACATCAGACATCTCTCACTGCAAGCAGTGATTGCAGGCCATAACCCAGTCTCAACAAGCCTGCTGGGCCCTTGCCCCTACACACCACTCCCATCATCTTGTTTCATAAGCACGTTGCATTGTGGTTGCCCTCACCCTCACTCCTGATTCCACATTCTGCCCCCTCTGCTTTGAATAGCCCTTCACCTGCCCTCCACACTTAGCACCCCATTTGTCTGTTCATGAGCTTCCTGCAGTCTTGAGAATCTTTCTCCACAAGGGGAAATGAAATTTATGGAATACTGAACAGGTGCAGGAACATTCTCCAGGTACTTTTAGTCCACCGGTGAACAAAACAGACAAAAAGTGAGACTTGGTGGAGCATACATTCCTGTGGGGAAGGTAGATGGCAAAACACCACCACCAACAACAAACAGGATAAATCAGCACATGGTTATGCTAGAGAGGTAAGGCAGGTAGACAGAGAAGGGGGATTCCATGTTCGGCCCTGTGACTCGATGGCGAGGGGACATCTCACGAAGCAGTGGAGAAGTGCGTCTTCTTTGAAGAGCGATATACAAAGCAGAAAAATACCTGTTTATTAAGCAGATTCACTCGTGTGGCTGGAGTGGTGAGGGAACGGAGACAGGAAGAATAAAGGTGAGGAGACCAGGGAGTTATTGAGACCAGACCACGTAGGACCTCGGCCACAGTGAGAAGAATTGGTGTCTTAGGGTTTGGGAGTCAAGTTGGTCACGAGCAGCGCATGTGATATTGATATGTTTTTAAAAGCCCCTGCACGGGAGTGAGGGAGACTGGGAGTAAGGATGAAAATCAAAATTACAAGATTAATTAGGAGGCTCTTGCAAGGGACGTCATTCGCTTAGACACATCGGAACCAGTGTTGGTGGGGAGAAGTGGGTAGGTTGAGACAATTGGGAAGCCCCAGAATGCATGTCCTGATGTACTGGGTGCGGGGGTGGGGGCGCAACATGGGAGTCCCAGTTGAACTGGGTTCCACAGTTTTCAGACTGGGTTGGGCTGACTTTTCCGAACAGTGCACCAATCCTTTCTTTCCATGGGGCTTTGGGTGGAATGAAATCTCCAAGCTTTCCCTTCGCAGCCGAGTGCATTATCCCTCTCCACAACGCAGAGACTCCTTTGTTCCCGAGGGAGATGTAAGTTGAATCCATGAGAAATCATCAGTACAGCCTCTGTAGATGACTCTAATCCAAACGGCTGACAGTACAGCACCAGCCCTGCAGCGTAACGGGCCCCTTCTATCGGCTTGGTGGATGTAGAAAGGGTCTCACCACTTTGGGAGACAGTTTGGGAGCTTCTTAAAAAGCGACACGTATACCTATCAAAAGAACCAGCCCATTACCCCTAGGTATTTAGAGAATGGACAGAAATAAGAAATATGTTAACACAAAAAACAGGTATGCCACTGTTGACGCTCACTAAGATGCTGACCCCAATGACAACCAATAGCAAAATAACAGGTGTGGGCGAGGATGTAGAGAAATTGGAACACTCTTACATGACTGGTGGGAATGTCACAATGGTGCTGTCACTGTGTAAAATAGTTCAGCGCTTTCTCAAAAAGTTCATCCTAGAAGCACCAGAAACACATTGCTCCAGAGTCAATCCCAGTTCCTGGCGGCCCCATGTGTCCCAGAGTGGAACTGAGCTTCACAGGTTTTCAACAAATACCTTTTCAGAAGTAGATGGTCTGGCCACCTCCTGGCCTACAGAGGAAACTGTAGGCCCTAGGGATTCAAACAGTTATGAGCACATCAATCTTCATAGCAACACTGTTCGTAACAGCTGAAGCAGCTTGAGCTATCACCAACTCAGGAAAGGACACAGAACATGTGATCCATCCATACAGTGAAGTATTACTCAGCCAGCAAAACAAATGAAGGACCGATACACGTGAAAACATAAAGAAGCCCCAAGTGCACTATACTACCTGGAAAAAACAACAACCCTGAAACAGGTGGTCTCACGTCGTATGATCCTAGTTATGTGAAACACCCAAAGTAGTTCAACCCATAGGCACAGAGAGGAGATTAATGGTGTCCAAGGGCTGGGAGGCAGAGGAAGAGAGAGTTACTGCGCAGTGGGTCTGAGGTCTCTTTGGAGGGAGGACAATGCTTTGGAACTAGACAGAGACACATGGGTTGCACAAAATTGCACGTGTGCTAAATGCCATTGAATCGTACCATTTAAAAGGTTTAGTTTTATGTCATGAGAGTTTTACCGTAATAAAAAAGAAAGAGCTTCTGATATGTCACACAATGAATGTAGCAGATCTTATGTAAAACATCAGATTAAAACATTTTAATGTTGTGAGTTTACATATGAAAAATTATAGAGAGGTCAAAATCCTAGAAAGAAAAAAAAAAGATCCAATGCTTTCCAATAACTGGGAGAGAGGACTTGATGCTGTTCCCTGACTTGGTCTTAATTGTGGTGGAGATAACATGACTCTATACATTTATCAAAACCCACGAGACGGTATGCCAGAAGTTCTTTTATTGTATTTCATTTCAAAATGTTTGAAAATCAAAAAATAACACCCATGGTTCAGAGTATATTTTCAATGGATGCTTGTTGTTCTCCAGAAGATACATAACAAAGGAATTAGTACTCACCTATATCATATTTTCTTAGGACACAGGACAATATAGAAAACACTTCAGAGTACACTTTTTATTTTCTTCCTTTATTGAAAATTATAGAGATGAGTTTTGGACAGAGAATGGCACAGGCCTGAGGCACAGAGCCTTAGGAGTAGAAGGGGCAGTTTCATCAAACTATTCTTTCCAGAGAAGGATCAAATGCCTCCTACAAGGCATCATGAATGTAGCTTTCTATGTTCCAATTAAATTAAGATGATATCCATGCATTAAATATTTACTCTTCCAGGCTCTAGGGATTTGGCCGAGAACAAGATACATACCAGCAAGGGGACTCCAAAAACGAGACTCAACTGCCACCAAGTTGAAGGAGACTCATAGTGACCCTGTAGGTCAGGATTAAACAGCCCCTGTGGGTCCCCAAGACTGTAACTTTTTATGGGAGTAGAGCGCCTCACCTTTTTACTGGTGGTTTTGAACTGCAGACCTTGTGGTAATCCAACGCATAACCACTGCACCATGAGGGCTCCTTAGCAAGGGGACTAGGAAGCAGAAAATGAACATACACAAAATCAAAGGGTCCTGCTGTTTTCAAATAAGGATGAGAATAGAAGCAAATCTAGCAAAGTAATAGAATAAAAAGAAGCTTGAGTTGGAAGATGAGAGCTCCTGAGATTAGTGATCAGGAAAGTTCATGTGGAAGACAGTCAACGAGCTTAAATATTACGAAGTAACCTACCATGAGAGAAGTACATGTAAATATACCCTTCCATACATTTTTGTTCATTCAGGAATATTTGTAAGAACGTTTACTAAACAATATTTTTCTAAAATTGGGGGTTCTTACAGCTCTTCTAACAATCCATTCATCAATTGTATCAAGCTAAACAGTTCTTTTTTTTTTTAATGTGTAAAAAAGCTTTATATTAAGGAGTAACTGTGCATCAATAAAACATCCCAGATCAAGTCCATATGTCTGATACTAAACCATAAGTCTGATTATAGAACATAAATCCCTCTCCAGACTGCTGAACCACACACAACGGTGCCAAACACAAGAACATCACAGGCTGGGGTGCAGGGGCCTGCGGGTCCAATGGTGGTGGCTCTGGCAACTCTCTGAGTGACTCGATAACAGGAAGGTGAAGGCAGAGGGAGACAGGGGAAGAGAGAGAGAGAGAGAGAAAGTTCCCAGGATCTTTTAGAGAAGGCCACGGCCCACCAGAAGGCACCGTCAGGCTGTGACCCAATTGACAGGTTACACCCCACCCCTACATATTTTTAAGTCATTTTATTGGGGGCTCTTCCGTCTCTTATAACATTCCATACATCAATGATAGCAAGCATATTTGTACATATGCTGCCATCATCATTTCCAAAACACTTTCTACTTGAGCCCTTGTATAAGCTCCTCTTTTTTAAGGGGCTCATACAACTCTTATCACATTCCATACATACATCAATTGTGTAAAGCACATTTGTACATTCATTGCCCTCATCATTCTCAAAACATTTCCTCTCCACT